CCCCCCCCCCCCGAAGAAGTTTCGCAAAAACTTTTTTGCTGCACAATAGAAATAGCGATTAATTCTAATTATATTAAAGCAATTAGGGGTAGCAATGACTTTATTTAAAATGGGTTCATTTAAATAATATATACTCATTATATGGCTTTAATGATAATGAATTGTTTAGGGATTGGGTGATCCTATGTCTGACTTTCTACACGGCTATAATGGTTCCCTATAACGTCGCCTTCAAGAATAAAACCTCCGAAGACGTCACTCTTCTGGTGCTCGACAGGTATTTCCGATGCCAGTCCTCCGCACATATAGTCCTCCACTACATGACAATAACCTATCATTTATATCATATCTGTATTAACTTAACTGTTAACCTAATGTTGAGGTCTATTATTAAGTTTTTGTTACAAATTATATATTAGAGGACAACAAACAACACTTAAACCATTACTACTGTTCCCATTGCTAACACTGATCTGTGTTTGATTTGTGCCAATAGTATAGTAGATGTGATATTCTTTATCGATATTGTGCTCAACTTTCACACAACATTTGTGGGCCCGGGAGGAGAGGTAGTGTCAGATCCGAAGATAATTAGAATGAATTACTTGAGGAGTTGGTTCATCATTGATCTGCTGTCGTGTCTACCCTACGATATATTCAATGCCTTCGATCACACCGATAATGTGAGTCCAGTCCCCTTCTCAGACCCCTTTCCACTGCCCATCCCTTTCATTACCACCAAAAGCACACAATTATACTAAAAATGATTATTTCATTTGATGCTCGCATCTACAGCAAGGCATCGGTAGTCTATTCAGTGCTTTAAAGGTTGTGCGTCTCCTCCGACTGGGAAGAGTAGTGCGAAAACTTGATCGATATCTTGAATACGGTTTGTATTTATTAAACCAAAACAAGAAATTGGATTTCTTTGGCGCGATGGGGAGACCCAAGCGATTCGTGCCATCAAATTAATGCTGACTTCTGCATAGCCATAGCCACTCACTCGCAGTCATATTGTGGACAAACACAGTCTCTCCTGACTCTGCTCTCAATATCTCATAACATTTAGAATAACTTTGAATATTAGGATTGCACTCAATTTATTGACATTAGATTCAAGATGTAATAAAACTAAAAAATCATTTAATATTTATAACATACAGAATATGACATACCATAAGAGTACATATTATTACTAAAGTATATATCATATTATACGAGACTTTCTTAAGAAAAATATTGCCATTTTTGTCAAATTTAATATCACAACATAAATATAATTGAATTTTTTCCGAAATCCGATTTCAAAGTTTTGTGTTGCAATCTTTTATTGCTTTTGTCTCATAATTAAATTTGAACCAACAGGTGCTGCAATGCTGATCCTTTTGTTATGTTTTTATATGCTTGTGGCCCATTGGTTGGCCTGTATATGGTATAGCATAGGCCGCAGTGATTCCGAAAATTATCTCACATATAGCTGGCTCTGGAAACTGGGAAACGTTACCCAGGTTTGCATTTATTATATCATTCATACACCTTTAGTACGTGCCGATATTGTTCCCAGATAACCAGGTTTAATCTGGATATACCAGAAATAGTCTCTGTGGCTAACTCTATACATAAATCTTCCAAAAGATACAGATTTGCCGAAAATTTTAATCAAAATGAAAGAATTCATAGATTCTCTAGAGATTGTATTAGAAATTTAAAATACATTTCCAGAAATGGTTATTTTTGATGTTGGGAACAGTATTTGTGCGACACATAGCCTGAATGTCTGACCAGACTATTAAAACTTAGATAAAGTTAAGGCTAACAAGAATTGCATTACTTTATATGAAAAGTGCATTCCTTTGCAGTTTTATAAGTGTAACTCAATTGTAACGATGAGTTTAGTTAACCACTGAATATGTATTAGTGTCTGCCTTTTAGGCATCTTTGCATATGAAGTGAAATGTGTTTCGCTAATTCACTAATGAATGTCTATATATTCAGTTCCCTTTCCACTTACGACCGAACAATTCATCGCAACGAATAGAACTGGAAGGCGGGCCGGAAAGGCAGACAATGTATATAACGTCGCTTTACTTCACAATGACTTGTATGACAAGCGTTGGCTTCGGTAATGTGGCGCCAGAAACGGACAACGAGAAGGTGTTCACCATTTGCATGATGGTTATTGGAGGTGAGCCCACGTACACCACATGCACCACATATACCATACATCACTTGTCTTAGCTATCATTTGATTACATGTTTGAAACTCATATCTAATTTCAAATGTCAGATACAATCGATTCTTATAAAGAAAAACAATAAATAAACTTATATTAGACTAGTGTTTGACAGGAACATTGGTATAGGAATTGTGTGATAATCCCATTTGTGGTACATTATAGCCCTGTTATACGCGACAATATTCGGTCACGTGACGACAATCATCCAGCAGATGACGAGCGCGACCGCCAAATACCACGATATGCTGAATAATGTGCGAGAATTCATGAAATTACATGAACTGCCAAAGGCTTTGTCGGAAAGGGTCATGGATTATGTCGTCAGCACGTGGGCTATGAGTAAAGGCATCGACACGAAGAAAGTGTTGAGCTATTGTCCCAAAGACATGACGGCTGACATATGCGTGCATTTGAATCGCAAAGTCTTCAACGAGCACCCGGCCTTCAGACTCGCCTCCGATGGCTGTCTCCGGGCGATGGCCATGTACTTCAGTATGGATCACAGCGCACCGGGAGATCTGCTCTATCACGTCGGAGAGTCCATCGATTCCTTGTGTTTCGTGATCTCGGGTTCTCTCGAAGTCATACAAGACGTGAGTCCATAAACACAGACTTATCTCACAATCATTTCATTCTTCACTTAGATTTACAACATATTTGTCTTCATATCTCTTTCGCTTTCATGATTTGAATTCACAATTCTCTCTATAATAGGATGAAGTGGTGGCCATATTAGGAAAGGGAGACGTTTTCGGTGATGCCTTCTGGAAGGAGCCCACTATTGGCCAGTCGTGTGCCAATGTGCGGGCCCTCACATATTGCGATTTACACGCAATTAAAAGGGATAAACTCATTGAAGTGCTTAACTTTTATCAGGCGTTCGCCAATTCATTCGCCAGAAATCTAGTTCTCACTTACAATCTCAGACATAGGGTAAGGCCAGCACCGGCTCATCACTACTTATAATCAATATTATAACCTAATATACAGTGCATTGCGATACCGGTGTGTACTCTAAATGCTTCCATACTTCTGGCGAATACTTCTTTGCCAACAAATCTTTATGACATTTTCGCGTGCATTCGCTTATAGACTATACACCGGTTTATTGCTTATAATCTTATTTATTATTAAACAATATTTTCCTCTCAGTTCTTGTGTTCAAACATATTTTGGTTTTATTTTTCAAACATCTTATCACTTGAATTATTGGCACTATTCTCGAAAACACAGTCTCTTATTATCTCTATATCTTTCAGTTAATATTTAGAAAAGTGGCGGACATTAAAAGGGAACAGGAGTTGGCGGAGCGGCGAAAAAATGATCCCGTGCCAGACATCGCTCAGGATCATTTAGTTAGAAAGATATTCTCAAAGTTCCGCAAACCGTCAGACAGTGGTGTTCCACAAGGGGGCAGTCGTCCCGGTTCTAGTCTGACACACACTCCGGCCATTATGGACATAGAGAGGGGGGAAATGCCTCAACCCTTACAAACGCACGAAACGCCGAAACCCAAGCTTCCGATCGGTTCGGAGCCGGAGTCGAGGACCAGCACCGGTGGCAGTCGGGGCTCCAAATGGGCCTCAGCCCTGGCCAACGCCACTCATAATAATAACAATGTGGGCACCGGTGGGGGCGCACAACCACAAGCTCAGACTATTCCCACGAGTGAAACCATACCACGACAGCACAGGGATGTCGTAAAGACTGACACGTTATTAGATAATGAAATAATAGACAAACAGATGTCCGATAGAGACGATCAAAACTTAGGAGCCGTTCGACGAACAGAATTAGTTTGTAAAAAGTCTGAACACATCCACGTTGTGAAAGACATACGACCGCCCACTCAGGGCAACAAATGGCCGCGAGTTGCGACCGGTGGCAGTGTCCGACCCGAGACCATCGAGGAGTCGACTGAACCCCAGGACAGTGAAGGCAAACGAGCGGCTCAGCCGCCGGTCGACAGCGAGACTCACGTCAAGTCAGTGAGTGATCCGAAACCGATTCAACCGAAAAGCATCAATAGTTCCGATTATCAACAGATCATCGCATCGCTCATTGATATGAGGGTTGACCTGAAGCTGGAAATACAAAAGTTAAGTAATAAAGTGAGTAAAATAGACGAACACATCTCAGATATAGTGAGAAAACTTTCGGCCTTTAATCTCAAAACTGATGACAATTCAATGTTGAGCACCGGTAGTACCGGTGACAACAAAGCGACAAAACCAGTGTCTGTGATCTCTACTAAAAACAATGACTTCTTCGATGAAAACGACGAAAACCGCTTACAAGAGGAGAGTAATGCCAGGAATAGGAGTGACTTAACGAGAGAGGCAAGGGATGTGAAGGATAGTAAAAGTGCCGATAAAAGTGGTCATCGAGTAGTGTCTTCTCAACGACCCATTCCGTCAGTGCCCTCGAGAACTATTAACTCAAGTAGTCATAGAAAGTCAGATAAGTTAGCGAAACAAGTGTCCGATAACTCCACAGAAACCGACGAAATGCGAGCGATGTTAGAGAACGAGATCGCAGAGCAAGACATCGACAACACTGATGAGGACCAGGACCTCACTTCCAAACTATAGACACCCACCCGTTCACCACCACCTCCTCTACCATATGATTATTTACTCATTACTACAATAAACTCACAAATTATTACAGTATTCTAACAAATGACATCTTATATGAAGAAATTAATTACTATTGGTTTATATAAATGACATTAAGTTTAAGAGAATTTAATATAAATATTATTAATTACTTTACAATTATTCAAACATTCAGGATCATTTCAATTAATAGGAGACATTTTAACATATTTTAAAAGACTATTTTAAATAATTCAAAGATTGTTACACAAAAAAGAAATCCATTTGAAAATTCCATTAAAAACTTTTTTATGAGTTATGCAACAAATAAAATCGTATAATTAAATAATTCCAACATTTAGTTTCTCTCGTTTTTTACCTACAAATTACAAATTGATAAATAATATATTATTATAAGCAATAAATTCTATTGGAAAAGTTATATTAAAATATATTGTAAGAATTATTATATCGGTAAATTAAATATAAAACAGTTTTTATTAAGCACTAGAATTCCCTGTTAAACATTTTAGTTATATAACTTGGAAATTTATTCAATTATTGTTTGAGTTGTTTTTTCTAAAAGGTTTAATTTAATTTAATTTTTAAAAAATCTTCAAAACCTTAATCGTTAGATAAAATTACTTTAAGAGATAAAACCATTAAGAAATAATAACATAAATCTAATTTGAGCTTAATTTTGAACAGAATTTGTAAATTTCAAATAAATATGATAACAACAACAAAAACTAATTGTTATTTTTGGTTCATTTAAGATAAGCCCCAATTCTTAACGTAATTTTTCTCAATTTATTTGTTTTTCTCTGTTGTGATATTAAACATAAAAAGTTAGTTACAATCAGTGCCTCTAAAATATAACAACTTATGGTTCTATTATTCATGTTTTTACGGTTTCCCTTAAAGACAATCTTGTATTATATGTACATATTGTATACAATTTGAAAATATAATATATACATAAAAAGAATAAAGTAAATTATCTAAACATTCATTGTGTTACTAATTAAACGCTCAAATGCAATATATAATTAATAAAATTCAAATAACTTATATAATTAAAATAATCTTATAATCGTTTTTAGTATATTTTTGTTTTTTAATTTTTTATTTTGATATTAAAAGAATTACATCAAAAAGAATATAAAATGTATTTATTAAATCAATGAGAATATAAAGTAAGTTTTTCAATTTATATCCAATAACATTAATTTAAATATTTTCAAATACAAACCCATTTTATATAGAAAAGCTACTAATTTCAGGAATTTCAATCATTTATATTTAAAGAGTATAGTTATTATAAATCATTTGCATGTATTCAAAATAAAAACCTCTATTCTCGTAATTTTTCCTATTTTTACTCTATTTTACATTTCGATGGAATTTAATCAAAATCCAATTGATTTGTAATTAATATATTAAATAATCGCCAAAAGAGTCAAAAAACAAAAACATGTAAAATAACTTTATATCATATTATGATCTCTAAAAATCAAATCTTAAATATTGAATTGATTTATAATTTATCGTCAAATCGATTGCTTCATAAACTCGAGAATATGTTTTGCAGTTTTTTCTTAATCTTCTTCTGGTCGTCAAGACTGCATCCGATGACAGTCTTCTGGAACTGTTCGTCGACTGGAAGTGGTTTGAAATGATCTGAGGAACAGGAGCTTAAGTAGGTCTGACACAACTGTTTCGCACATCCCCTATCATTTTTGACACAATCGGACAGTTTATCAATAAATGTGTTCACATTCTCGAGTGCTTTCTCTTGTGTCACAGTTCTGGTAATCTTAAGGTTGATGTCGACGCTATCCAATCGATATAGTAATCCATGAGATGTTATCTTAATTTCTTCCCTTTCGACTAACGTTTTGTTTTAATTAATAAATTAAACCTTAACTTCTAATGCCTTACAAAAGACATCAATAATGGATTAAATAGTTAAGCGATACATACCTTCTCCTATAGAATCCAATTCATCGCTCGTAATGATTGAATTGAGGACTCGATATAACTTTCGCTTCTCGTCCTCCAATTCAGACGCCGTTTCCCGAAGAAAAGCCACTCTTTTGTCGATCTGATCCAAAGTGTTGGTTATACTGTCT